GAGAGAGAGAGAGAGAGAGAGAGAGAGAGAGAGAGAGAGAGAGAGAGAGAGAGAGATGGGAAGAGACGAGAAGAGAGAGACAAGTAGATAGAGAGAAAGGGAGAGAGACAAAGCAAATCCAAGTCGTCATTAAAAAAAGGAATGTTCATACTGCACTTCATCGGCGCCAATTTAAATTCTGAGATGACGGAATAATCTGTCCCGCCCTATGGCAAAAGCCTACGACAAACAAAAAAAGAAAACGTCAATGTCCGCAGGACGACTCATCCACCCGATTGGATGACCACCCACTTCCCTGGCCAGCACAGCCAATCTGGAACCAGCACGTCCACGACGGCCCGCTCACGGCTACAACGACGACGGAAAGGCTCACACTTTCGCGCCGTCCTCATCCATGGAAGCGACAATGTGCACAACAGAGGCGGCACAAGCTCTAACGCTCACGAATGGCCTTCGCTATCTCCAACGAAGCATGGCACATCAGTTTGTTGACTTCGTCTGACGCTGCATAGTGCTTTTTCTGCACTTCAACCTCCGCTTCCAACGCCTCGCACTGCCGAACTTGGATGGAGCACTGCCGCTTGCTGGCGCTCAGCGCCCCGTGCTTCTCAATGCATTCTGTTATCGCTTCGAAAGTTTGCTGCCTCGTGCTCTTCCTCTTGCCGAAACCGCCGGGGCTACCCGTCGTTTGAGAAGAACCTTTCATCGACCCATCATCGTCGTCGTCATGCCCTACACCAATGTCCCCATCATTGACCGGAGCGCTTTTAGGAGGTACTGGTGGTTTAATGAGTGTTTTAAGCCGCTAGTACATGGCCCCAGCCTTGGAGAAAGTGTTTGTCGCCAAAAGCAAAACTCGGAGGCGCCGCGCGGCCAGGCCCGCCGTTAAAAAAAAAAAAATGGCGGCCTCCGAGGTGGTGTGGCTTTCATGCGGATACCCGCGGGCCAATATGTGGTGTACTGGTGCTTTAAACCACCAGTACTTGGCCCAGCTATCGGCCGCGGAAAAAAAATAGAGTAGAAACGTTTCTAGTCAGATGAATTTGGGCGCTCCTGTAGTAGCCCGTACGTTTCCTAAAACCGTGGTGCGTTAACAGGCACGACTCTAGGAAGAACTGGTGGTTTAAGAATGTATCCAGCACTGCTTCCCTCATCTCATTTGTCCTTAGCATGGAGCTGTTAATCGCGAAGAATCTCCATCAATTGGTGGGGAGCGTCACCTGCTGGAAACCGGGTCCAGCGTCCCATAATTATAGAATTGATAAATTTAATATGTTTGTGGTATAGCCGGGAAATTTTGGGCCCTAAAGGGCCTTTGTATTTGACGGGCTGCCGACCAAAAAAAAAAGAAGAGATAGCACGGTCCTATTCCAGTTGAGTGTATTGTACCCATAAGGGTCATCGATATCGAGAGTATTTTATTCTGGAAGTTGACATGTGATGACTTCTTTTTTTTCTTTTTTTTTATATATAAAAGGAAGCCCCTCTATGTTGGGGGGCGACAGTCCAGTTGCTTGTAACCAGCAAGTGTAGATTTTTGTCCTGCTGGAGGAGGGCTCTAAACAGGTCTGCTAGCAATTTTTCTGCCATCGGATTGTGGAATCGCGCATCAAGAGCGCCTTGTCCCAAAGCGTGCTTTCCAATCCAGACACCCCTCTTGATGTGCTGTCTATACTAGTGTCAGTCAGTGAGTGCATTGAATTTCCAATCTCCCGCTAAGACTAGATGGGCTGGGGTGGAGCATGCTAGCATAAGATGAAAGATACACTCCTGACACTGCTGGAGTGTCCCTGGGCAATAGAGGTCTATTAGTTCGAACTTCGAAGTGTTCTTCCATGACAATAAGGTCTAGGGCCTCTAGGCAGATCCAGGGGGCGTTTGTCTCCTCATCCTAACTGGTGTTGTTGATCTCGAGCCCGTTTGCTGCCTCTGATTTCACATGGATGACGACTGATGTTCCTGCTGACCCAGTTCTTGACGATGGGGCGCAGTATGCACTTTTGATGCTGGTGTTTTTTGAACCACCGGTACCTCGGCCATATATATCGGCCGTGGGAAACATAAGTGGAAGCGTTTGGACTTGGGTGAATTTGGGCGCTCTAGTCCAGGCCCATTCATCCGAGCACATCAGGGTGCATTACCCGCCGCAACTGTCAGAGGTACTGGTGGTTTAAACCACCCGTATGACAGTACCTTTCCCCCACTTGAAAATAAAAGTCGCACCGGTATATTTGGAAGCCAAGCGGGAAAGGGCCGCCGTTGACAAGTTTTATTCCTAGCCTAGCAGCCCATGCAGTATGGCCTCCATGCCTGCCAAGGGTATGTAGCATCCAGGGTTAACTCTTACACTAAGGTAATGCACAGGGACCCTATTACCGGGCCTATATTTTATTTACTTATTAATGTCCTCATCGGGTGGCAATCTCCGTGCATGGGGCCACGCGCTCAGAATATGTGTTCCACCAGTAAAAGAAAAATGTGGCGTGGTACCTGCCTGGTGCCTGAATGGCACTGCTCTACCACGACCGGATCGCCCACCACCTTGAGCTGGTTATTTACAGGTCGGGGGTTCAAACCCTTTGCAAATTCCTTTCTTCTTTTTTTCCTAATATATTTTTAGAGCTCGTTATTTACAGGTCGAGAGCTCAAACCCTCCCTAAGCTTTTGAAATGGGGACAAACTGTGCCAGTAAGCGGGTTGGAAAAAACGTTTTTTGGACGTCATACCAGATCGCAGTGGATGGAGAGGAAGGGATGAGCAATACTTGTTGTGGTCAACTCAGACTGACATGCATCCACTCCGCAGCAGCAGTTAAGCTAACTGAGAGCATACTCACACTTGGACTTTTTCAACTGAGCTCTGGACGTAGTTACGGTCAGGTACATCGAGGTGAAGGTGGTATTCTGGTCAGATACATCCAGGAATGTCCTAGTGTGAGTATGCCCTGAGGTCGGCAAGAGGAGATAAACAGTGAGGTCATTTGTATCGCCTCTCTTGCACAGAATCTGATAACATCGGCAAAGTACAACCGAGTACTTCGCCCCAGACGGCTTAAACCACATAATTGCGGTCAGATACATCGTGGTCCGGGTGTAAATGCGGTCAGATACATATAAGATAGAGCTAGTGTGAATACACCCTGACACATCAGCAACAGGAGGTACAGTGAGTTCATTTGTCTCACCTGTCTTGCACAGATGACACCAACAAAGCGCAACAGAGTACTTCACCCCAGAAGACTGAAACTGAACCACGGAGGAAGAATAGCAATTGGGAGCAGACCAGAGAGGAGGAACAAAATGCAGTCCCAGCTGCTCAAGACCAGTCCCCCACGATGGACCCGATTGGGACAAGCGAACCGATGATGCAGAAGGTAGGGAAATGGGGTAGAGCTCTGGCTTCTATCCGGGACCACCAACCACCTCAGCAGACTCTGGGCCTGTTGGGGACTGCGATAGCGCAGGAGGAGGTACCTTTAATAAGCGGATCGGCGTCAAAGCTCGACGAGACGCCAAATGCGTCACAGCAGGTTGCACATAACAAGCGAGCAAGGGTATCGTTCGAAGGGGATGTGTCGAAGAATGAAGGCTCCAGTGAAACAGACAAACTGGGAGGAGAGACGGTACCTGCCGAGTCCACACCTGCTGTGGACCGGATTAGGAAGATGCTGGAGGCCTGCTACCTAAATGGAATGCTACCGGACACGTCGGAATTTGTGCAGATGAGTAGACAGGACAGAAAGGGGAAGTTGAAGGCTACAGGTCTGATGGATACGGTGCATGTCGAATGGCTGAGACAGTACGCGGTCATGATTGTTTTTCGCTGCGAAACGGGGCACAACAACTGTATACCGAACAACGTAAAGCAGCAGTTGGTGAGGAATTTCGAGGACGGTTGGATTCCTGCCAACTTCCAGACGTTGGGTAGAGGATGGATTCACTTAGAAGGGGACAATGTCATGTCGTATGTCGCAAAAGACAAGGAGATAGCAGCATGGATGCTGCAACATGGTGCGGAGTCGTTGAAGCTTGGAGGGGAGGTGTACACCCTCCTCTTCAGGCCCTGGATGACAAAGAAAGAGGTCGAGCAGATGAAGGAAAAAGAGAGAGAATCTGAGTGTTGGATCATCGTCCTCAGAGTACCATTACATGCGATGGCACACGTCAAAACGCTTGTAGAATTTACAATGGGGAAGATCGTGAAGGCTTACCCTCCAATCAGAGATGCACACGATCCTACACTCGTTAACCTGAAGTTTGACATGAGTCCGGAAGATAGGCCGCAGTTTCTGGATCTGCTCGAGTTTGAGCTAGAAGGAAGCGTACTTGCATCTCAGGTGGTGAATGACAAAACAGGGTGGTGTAAAGTTTGTGCGGGTTTCGGACATGAGTCGACCGGGTGTTCGTCAGTGGGACAAATGAAACAAAAGTCGGGTCCAAGGGGAGAAGTGACTGATAACCCACAGAGAGCAACGCCGTCAGTGTCGAGTAGCGATTGCAGATCTTTCAGTACGTTTTGCAATCCGACGTTTGGTGATAATCATCCTGATCTCGCCGACAACCCTCCTGATGATGGCGCTCATGATGATCCTCCAGCAGGGCGGGGATGGCTGCTTAGCCCCAGTTGGAAATGACAATTATGAGGGGGAGTGACACAGAAAACTCTACTTTTACTGGAAATGAGAACATGTGTACTGCTCGTCGGTCTTCAATTTTTCCAAGCGGGCTTAGAACTGATTGAATGGCAAAAAACATTCCAAAAACTGTTAAAAATGTTTGCTAGCCTTTTTGCCTTATTCAGACCATTCGCAAGGTGTGAATTTCCACACACAAAAAAAAAAAAAACAGTTACAATTGTTTGATTCTCAAAAAAAAAAAACAAAAAAAAAAACTTATGATTCTGGGTCCTTTTCCATTCTGGGGAGCATCAGTCCGGTTCCTATTCCCCCGGCAAGTCAAAGATAGTACAATGGTTACTCATTCACGCTCCTCCCCCTTATGGCGTGGAGGCCCAGAAGACGGCATGATTACTTCCTTGAAGGAGGATGTACCGATCTTCACCCCTGCCTAAGTTAGCCTGTTCTAGTAGCTGCTGTTTGACTTCACTGGAAATATCAGGTCTCTTTTCTGTCTGTTACTCTCTGTTGATTGGACCTGTGACATGTCTGTGTTTTTCTGTGACAGTGGGTGTGTCGGACCCCTTTACTCTATTTCCGGACTCCTTGGGATCATTTTTACTTGAAAGTGTCGCTTGAAGCTAAAACTCTAAACCCTAGATTGGTTACACAACTTACACCCTGATGATAGCCTTTTTCTGAGGGTTGTTTCCTGACTGCGTCTACTGTTGATGCCATGATGGGGAATCTGCTTGAATTCTGCGGCATACTCTCTGTTTGGGGCTGGAGTAAAGGGAGGGGGGTTGATAGGGTGGGGAATTTTGGATCGGTGCTAGTTATGGGATAGATGCGATACTTGGGAGTGGGAAGGGGAAGGGGGATGTGTGAGTTAGTTTGTGTTTGCTCGGATGTTTGGGGGATGGGGGGGGGGGGGGGGCGGAGAGTGGAAGGAAATGTGTGGAGGGGGAGGTGGCGAGGAGGTTGCTGCTATGGAGGTGGTTGGGTGTTATGAGCTTGGTTTAATATCGGTGATGACTGAGATAGAGTAGATGATGGGTGGTTTGGTGTTGTTGGTGTGCATCTCCAATTTTTTGGGGCGGGTCTGTCATTATTTAGCTGTCCTTTTCCCTTTTTTTGTTCTTCTTCATCTTCTTTTTTTTTTAATAATATATACTTATCCTTTGGAGCCTGACGTTGTGTCTGTTTGGCTTAAAAGTTAAAACATTATACTCCCGATTGGGTTCTACCTGTAATACCCCTGTATGGGTCTGGTTCTAGCATAGGTTACACTCTAATTTCTGTTTGCTCTTAATTAAGCGGTCTGTTTTCTCGTGTTAACTGTTTTCTTGTCTTTGCGTTTTCCGTTTCCGAGAGTTGGTTTCTTTTCCTGGCTCGGACTGTTTTTTTTTTTTTTAAGATTGCTTCTATTTGTAGTATGATACCTGTTTCCTTCTCTGCCCCTTACCGTTACGGAGTTGTGCGATCTTCCCTTAATCCTGTGAGTTTGGTAAAGCAACTCTTAATTTCCTGTTTTCGTGCGACCTTCTTGGATTCTTAATTTCTTAGTATTCTTCCGGCCCGTGTGAAGTTTCTTCCTGCCATTCCTCCGTGTCCTGTTGCTCTGTGTCCCACTTACGGAACTTCAGGTGTCTGTCTTTTATTTCCGCTATGTTCTTACTGAGTAACCATGTGTCTGTCTTTTATTTCTGCTATGTTCTTACTAACCATTTTTCTTCGAACGCTTTCTGACTCAGCTCTGAGAGTCTCTTTTTAGGATCTGTTCATCTTTCTTGTTTCCTGAGTTCTATTTTTGCGTTGTGCTCCAGTGTTGCACAAGCCGACCCGTCGGCGACCCTTGACTGGTCGGCTGCCGACCGTCGGCGACCTTTGACTGGTCGGCTGCCGACCCACCGACCGGTCGGCTGGTCGGCACCTACCGGTCGGGGGTCGTCGGCAACCCAAAAAAAAAAAAATAAAATTTTTTTTTTTTTTAAGTCCAGAACCCCTGATAACCTCACGAACACCCCCATACCCACCCCAAATACCCCCATACACCCCCCCAACACCCACAAACCGCCCCCCAACACCC